ATGTTACCATGGCAAAACTGGAAGAGTTGACAGTATTACCCAGAATGCTGTTGGCATTGCTGTAAACAAATAAGGGCAAGATTCTTGCCAAGAGAACTCATGAATTGAGCATATTAAGCATTCGAAGAGCCAAAATAGCTTCTTGAAGCATGTGAAGGAAAATGATCAGAAAAAGAAGGAAGCCAAAGAGAAAGGTATTTGGGTTCAACTGAAGCATCAGCCTGCTCCACCCAGAAAAGCACATTTTGTAAGAACCAATGGACAGGAACCCGAGCTGTTGGAACCTATTCCCTATGAATTCATGGCATGATAAGTGTAAAAAAATTCTAAGCAGAAACACAACAAAAATCAGGCAATATTCCAGGTCTCCTGGAGAGTAACCAAAAGAAAACATAAATTCAGGTTTGCTTTTCTTTGTAGTACCTTGTGGCCAAAATACTGGCAGAGGGAGCCGCCCTTAAAATACTCATATATTTTCAGAGTATCATTTCTCCAAAAGATTATGTTACTGCTCATCTATTAGCATAAAAATTGTATAGATCCACTCCCCTCCATGAAACAAATCTAGGAAAAAAAAAATAAGGTCCACATTTCCTTTTTACAATTAAAGGTTACCTTTTGTCAAATTTTAAAACAAAATGCTCTCAAAGTTCTCACTCTTTTTCTCCAAATAAATACATATTTATTTTTAAATAAATTATCAATTTATAAAAACCTTTAAAACTTTAGACATTATTTCATGTAACTCCATAGCTAGAACCATGAGCCTTCTGAACGGACAAGAACATTTTTGTACCTAGGCTATCTGATTAAATCAAAGTATTTATGAGATGGTTATAATTATACACTATTGTTCATATGCTACTTCCATAAAGTATAATAATACTTTTTTATTTCCTGATTTGAAATTCAGGCTGTATTACAGTTGGCCAGAATGAAAATAAATGAAGATATTAAAAATGAAGAAAGCTATTGCCTGAGTCACCTAACACATACTAAAAAAGTTAGGTTTCAGAATGTGGGTGTGTTTTTTCTTAACCTAGGTAAGGGATACACAGGTATTTTCTGTTGTTGTTCTTTAAATCCTTCTTATGCATTTTTCACTATATGTATGTATGGTACATTTCTCAATGAACTTTTTTTTTAAACTGAAGGATATAGTTCCAAACTTTGGGGGCTGTCTCTGCCTTTACCAGTAATCTCTCTCAATCTTCTAAATGGCCAATTTCAAAACTAGTTTCTTAAATACTCTATTTCTTTACATAGAAGATATTAAATAAAAAACACACAGCCGTAAAGATACTAAACAAAGAACACAGTGGCCACATAGTCTGGCAGGTCTGACAACTGTTAAAGGTCCTTATTAAAGGTAGTGATATTTCTTAAAAATCAGTGTACAACCAGAAACTAGATAATAGAGAATTAGACATGAAGCTCCTGCCTCCAGTATATTAAAAAATTCTTAAGGGCAGGACTGCATCTTATTCACAGCCTTTAGCACACAGTGTCACACTTAATATTTGTGGAACTAAATGACCCCTAATGTGGTTATTACTGTGTAGGGACTACAGTACCTACCCATCATTTTCTAAACTAAATGTAAGATCTCTATTTGCAAAATAGGAAAAATTATTTCACTGTTGGGTTTCAATGAAATGCAAGTCCAGGATATGTAGCTACAAATGTGCAAGGGTATGATTTTCTTTTCATGTTTACAAAATGGGTTTGCATACAACACAATCTCTACTGTTTCATTAATAAAAATATTAATACTTTTTAAGAAATGAAGTAATAAATAATAAGACATCACCCTATCTATAATATGTATAGTTGGCAATAGATATTTTACAAGGATCTGCTTAGTAATATTCTTTGTTCTTTAATATAAGATTTCTCTCACAAGAAGAATCTTAGGTCAGGTCTAGCCTGTTATATTCTCTAACTTTCTCTGGATGAGAGGCAATTTACCCAGTGGTAGATACCGAGGTTAATACCTAGTAACTGTTAGTGGCAAACTTAAAGAGGAAACCTGAGATTTGACCTACTTTGCCTCACCTTCTCTTCTTCACCTTCCAAAGGAGGATACTGGTTTTGAGCCAAAAACAAGTAATTCAGTGTGTAGCTTTGTGTACTAGGCAACAAAGTGAAACTATCTGCCCTGGAACTGCTGCTATTTTGGATTTTCTTAGTTTTGTTCTCCCTTCTTTCTGTCTGTGTGTCTGTCTCTCTAAGAGGCTTATGTGGTAAAAGCAACCTGGGGCTGCCTTTATCCTGTCCCATTTGAAGAAGATCAAATAGTAGGGCTCAGGGTTCCTTAGGCCTGCTTCTAGTCTAGGGAAAATGCGCTCTCAAGATCACTTATCAGGTCAGTTCACAAAACTGAAAGGTGTATATACAGTCAGAGCCAAAGGCAATACATCCAAGCTTTTGCCTGGATATTCTCTATGCATGTTGTGCCCCTGGAGATGTCAGATACAGAATAGAAACTCAGTGGAAAATTCAACTGAGGTCCTGATCTTTTCCATATTTACCATGACTTCAACATTAAAAAAAAGTGCCAAAAAAAACTTGGTAAGGACTTTGATGGCTATTTTCAAAAATTAAATTTGCCTGTTTTCCACAATATTCTGTTTAGGGAAAAGAAAAAGCTAAGCTAGAAAATAAGGAATAAGGCTTTCAAAATCATTAGCATTTTTAATCATTATTATTTCAATCATTATTATATCTTCTCTCTTGTAAGGAGACTATTCTGTCCTCATATATTACCTCTCCAATATCCAACAACACAAGGGCAATTAGTATAGATGTCATCAGATCTATTATCTGCGTATCTTTAAATCATTACAAAATGAAATATACATATAACTAATATTTTTGCCTCGTTAGACATCTTTGATATGCTTATTTTTCTAAGTAAATTTTATAACAAATACTTCACGTATCCTTATAGTAATTCCATTTTTTCTCTCCTTTCCCATTCCTATCCCCCTTCCACTACTAACTCTCCCTTCTTTTCTCTCCTCTCTTCATGTTCCCTTGTCTGTGCCACAGAAGAGTACCACAAAAACTCGAGGGCACTGCTTAAGCCTCCTAGGTTTGCTGACCTCAAGTTTAGAAGTCCAATTCTAGAAATTTGGTAATCACCTATTATGTATACTTTCATCCCAATTCTAAATTCAAAGACCAAATTAGACAAGAGTTCAGTGCTAAGGAGATGACAAAGTTATTAGCCACTAATAAACTACTATAGTATCTGAAAGTACATGTGAACAAACGGGGCTGAGATTCAGGTTCTATGTAAGCATGAGGTTAAACAATCAGCATTTTGGATTGTTCCAGAATGACAAGGCAATGAAAAAGTTCTGAGGAATTTACAATTTTATAAACTTTCTTCAGGACAAAACATATGTTTAAAATTTGTCATGCAGGATGCTTTGCTGTCCTGCCACACTCACATCAGCTGAATGAGCTCTTAGCCAAGCCACTGGAAAAGGGAAAGAGAAGAGAGCCCTACGGACATCTGAGATCACATGTGTTACTCTCTCCAATTTTTGTTAAAATTCTGCAAAGGTTTTCAAACAGTTCCCCTCCTTGCATAGGTAATAAGCTAGCTTTTCTTTTAAAAGCCATACATAACCCGTATGCCAGAATTACTAAATCCAGAAAATTAACACAGATGCATACTTACTAAGAAAACAATTAGCCTGAGGCAGGTGGAAAACAACAAAAAAGTCAGAAATATTCTAGACTGTCACTACATCAGTTGTTTTTCAAGTTTTGATTTCGTTTTAGCTTGTCATTATGTAACCTACCTTTCAAGCTTCATTTACATGCCACCATACACACCCCTCTTCCTCATATAGCCAAAATGAACTTTTTAGTTTCTCAAATCCTTCAGGTTTTTGCTCTTCATTCAACACTTCTACATATGTGATCCCTCACCTATTACACTTATCTCTTCCTCAGAGTAACTCCACATCATCTCCTTTAATACCTTAGACTGCATAAAATACTCTGTCTGCTTGCACAGTATTTTTATTAAGCCTCATGTAATAATTTTTTTAACAGAACATCCCCACTGCATTTTGGAAAGTAAGAAAGTTTTTACAATGCCTAGAAGACTGCCCAACAAATAATATAAATCAATAATAATCTGGCTACAAGTATTAAGAATTCATAATGCCTTAAGAGGCTTAAGACTCTGTCCACAAACCAACTCTCCACCTACCCTATTCCTTACTCCTATTACTCACCCAGTTGCAACTCCATAGCTCTCTGCAAGCTGGTTTCTCTTCCCGGAATGGAACCGACTATTATCTACTTCTCTTTCAGGTCAGGCAATAAGATGTCAGGAAAAGATCAACTGACTTATTACTCCTCCCACTCCCAGGAGATTTCATAATTATGTCTTTCGCTGTTGTTTCCTCCAATAGAATGCCAGGTCTTCACAGAAGGGATCTTCTGTTATACTTGCCAATGTCCAGTTTATCTCTATACCTACAGCACCTAGAGCAACAGCTGATAAACAGGAGGTTCTCAAAAGTGAGGAAAGGAAAGGAGGGGGGGATGGGGTCGATATAGATTGTTTTCCTCAAGGAACTTATCAGCCCTTTCAACAAGTAATTTAATTAATCTGTGGTTTTAAACCCGTATATTTGTGACGTGTGTGTGTGTGTGTGGCATTAAGAGGATTATCGAGGCTCAAAAGAATTTCAGGAAGTAAAGAACCCATACCAAAAATGATTTGGACATTTTGTTGTTGTTGAAAAGTCGATTGCACGAAACAAATAGTATAAGTTTTAATTAAGCGAAGTAATAGTGAGAAGGACAAATTCAGAAGTCCTAGGAAACCCCACCTACCCAGCACAGGGCCTGGAAAGTATTTAGAATTTAAATTAGTGCGTTGAAGTCATGCCTCCCTATTCTAAAAACATAGTAATCCTGGCGGTTCGCCACATTCCTTACAAAAGTTTTACTCTTTTCCCGCCGCCTTCATTCACCTCGCAAAGTCCGCCCGCGGCACGGCACTGCTTCGCGGCGCTCGGCACTGCGTCCCCACACCCAGCAGAGGGCAGTGGGCCTCCGCGATGGCCTCACACGGAACGCGCAGCTGAGCCCGGGCGGGTCTCCGCTTGGAATTCGTGTGGAGAAGCGCTGAAGTCTATTACACAGCGACAAGCTAGAGTCCTCGCTCATATGACACTTAAAGTACAGTCCCTACGGCCACTCAGGCCCGCAGACCTCAAGCCCGGCAGCGTCCCCTTCCGCTCCCCCCAGACCTTCTTCCGCTTTCCGCTCCCTTCTTCCGCTTTCCGCTCCCTTCTTCCGCTCCCCCTGGGCTCTCTTCCTCTTGCCCGGGCCTCCCTTTCGTTCCGCCCGTGCGTTTCCCCGTCTCGGGTCCTCGTCCCTTTTCCCGGCCTCTTTACGTCGTCCGCATCTCCTCTTCTCCCGCCGCCCTTTTCCGTTCTCCAGCGGGCACGCCTGATTCCGGAAATCCTGCGCCGTCGCCAAGCGCCCCGATTCTCCCGCGCTGTGGCGGGCCTGTGCGGGCCTTCCCTTGGGTCGTGAGCGAACCCGGGATGAATGGACCTGCTTCGCGTTAAGGGCGTTAAGGACTGGCTGGTCCAGCGAAGCTTGTAGACTCCATTTATTTTTCAGGCTCCCTCTGTACGTGGGAAGAGTGGAGGGAGAAGAAAGCCAGGTTAGGGAATTTTGAAAGAGAAGGGGAGAGGAAGGTACCAAAAGCTGTTACTTCTTGAACATCTTTTCTGCGTTACTGAACGGGGAAAGTATTTGTCTTTTTTTTTTTTTTTCTAACGAGTACTCAACATATGCCCTGCGTGTGATAACGATTTTTATAAAGCTTAGCAGGCTTAGAATTCTGTGCCAATAGCTATCCTATGGAGCCAACAGGACTCTCTTCGGAAGACAGCTGAAAAGGAATGCCATTTTCCACTAGGATTGGGATCGCTTTGTCAAAAAGGAGGAACAGAAGGTAGATCTTAGTAAATAAGGGAATAGTCTGGTGGGAGGAACAGAAAGTGCCGAGAAGGGGAGATGATAAGCAAGTTTTAGGCTATGGAGATGTGGATAGTAGGGAAGAATTGGGAACCAAGTTTGGACCGATGAGAAGTCCAAATATTGAAAGTATTTAATTCCAATTTAATATGAAATGAGCAGCCATTACACTGTTGAGCAGGAAATTCACTTGATTAAATGATTTGGGAGAATTAGTTTGTAGAGTGGGGGTAACTAGATGTATTGTTTATGCCATAAATTTGTATATGGTTATATGGTACTGCACAAGTTCTGTGTATTGGTGTATGGGACTGTGGCTTTCCAAGGTTGGCAGCTGTGGCTAAGAGGTTTGGCCTTTAACATTTTTGTGTAGATTCCCTGATGGTATGTATCTTTTTTTTCCCCCATCCCCCCACCTCCCTCCCCTCTAGAACCCTCAGTTTGTTTCTCAGAGTCTATAGTCTCATGGTTTTCTTAAGTTCAAACAGTGTGTGTTTACGGTTGATACTATCTCATGCCTTATCTTTCTGCCAAGCATTTAGTTACTTGCTAGTTCTCAGAATTTACCAACAAGTTGAGGAGATACAATGTTTTGTTTTGTTTTAAAGATTTTTATTTATTTTTTGACAGAGAGAGACACAGCGAGAGAGGGAACACAAGCTGGGGGAGTGGGAGAGGGAGAAGCACGCTTCCCGCTGAGCAGGGAGCCCGATGCGGGGCTCTCGATCCCAGGACCCTGGGATCATGACCTGAGCCACCCAGGCGGCCCTCATCTTCTTTAAATCAGGAAACATAACACAATCCAGTCATAATAGCTGTTGCTTAACAGCTGAAGGACTACCACTAGAAAAGGGAATGACAATCATTCATGTACTCCAGCCTTATTTTCACAAAGCCCTTACTGTAACTACAGGAGTCCAATACCCCAGTTCCATGTGCTTCTTCATATGTTCTAAGCTCGTTTGCATATCCAGACCTTAATGGGTCTGCTCTCTGGCTCTACCCTCTTCTGTACATCTAATCTCTTTCATTCCTTCAACATGTACCTCAGATCTATTTTTTCCACAAAGCTTTCATCACTTGCCCTAGTAATACATTATCTCTTAATATATCAGAATCTCATGGTCTTTTATTCTTTATTTTTATTTTTTTAAATTTTATTTATTCGTTTGACAGAGAGAGACACAGCTAGAGAGGGAACACAAGCAGGGGGAGTGGGAGAGGGAGAAGCAGGCTTCCCGCGGAGCAGGGACCCTGATGCAGGGCTCGATCCCAGGACCCTGGGATCATGACCTGAGCCGAAGGCAGACGCTTAACGATGGAGCCACCCAGGCGCCCCGGAGATACAATGTTTTAAAAGTTTTTAGAATACACACACTATCAAAAGAGGTCCAAAGCACCTTAGGGATTTGGAGGAGGGAAAAGAGGTTGGCAACTAGTGAAAACTCAAGGAAGGTGGCCCCAAAAGAGGGCATTTATGCATTTTCAGTACTATGACTAATATGCTAACAGATAAAACAGCATTTCTTTTTTATAATTGTGCTTAAGTAGTGCCTTTTTACCCATAGCTATGCGAGTGTAATAGGAGAGAATGGGAATTTGCAATGAGGTGTCCGGTGTCAGGTAGTGTAACGGAACCAACATGAGTTCTCTCTATGGTGAATCAGAAACTGCACAGGTTGACAAAGAAAACTTTTATTTACAGCAAATGAGATCGTGGGGAATGGCTTCCAAAACCATGACTCCCTGAGAGCGGCTGAATGAATTCCTTTTGTTTAGGGTTAGAAGGAATATTTAGATACGGAAGCCTTGTCATCCTATGTACAGGCAGGCATAAGGTCATGCATAGCCTAAGGAAACATGCCTATGTATACATTATGTGTTATGCAGAGGAGGCTGAGGCTCCTCCTTGGGTGGAGATTTTAGTATTATAAGGAGGTAAAGATCATTGTAGGTCATTCTAGAGGTCACTCCATGGTCCATCTGTGTAGGCACAAGTCAGATTTAGCTTAGATGGTCTGGGGGGTCTGGGCAGGTGGATGGCAGGAGGTCTTGTCTGGGAAGTCCCCATCCCCTGGGGAGTAGTGTTGGGTTTCCTTTGCCTGAGTCAAAAAGAAAGCTGGAAAGAAGAGCTTAGGGAAAAATATAAGACAAAAGTAAGTAAGTATGAGCAAGTGGGCAGTAAAGGCCAGGTTTTGGGGCCAAGCCCATATATTGGAACCTATTTTGAGGTTAAACTACAAAAAAAGAAGTTAAAGTTTAGTGAGTACAAGCAGGTGGGAGCTGGGAGGGCTGAGACCAAAATATCTGGTACTTGCTTCCCATATCCTGTAGGAAGAGGGAAAGTTTTTCTATTTCAAAACCTAGTCTTTCTCATTTCTTTTCTAGTAGCATTCTGATTACTCATCTGTATGTATAGCATTTCAGTGTACTTGCACATACAACCTAGTGTCAAAATACCTTTTACTATAATAATGGTTGTGCCAAACCACAAACTAAAAGGTAGTGCACTGTAATATTAGCAGGTCGTACCTAGTTATTTTTTAACTGCTGGCTCAATAAACAAATATTGGATGACAATTTCTTTAAACATTTGCTTTTTCATAAAATACATATCCAGGTATTCTCCACCTCCTTCACTTGACTGTTAAACTGCTTTCTTCCTTTTACTCCATATCATGTTATAGTGAAAACTTTTCAATACAGATATCACCCACTATCTAAAAGTTACCATTAGAGGCACCTGGGTGGCTCAGTCGTTAAGCATCTGCCTTCGGCTCAGGTCATGATCCGAGGGTCCTGGGATCGAGCCCCGCATTGGGCTCCCTTCTCCGTGGGAAGCCTGCTTCTCCCGCTCCCACTCCCCCTGCTTGTGTTCCATCTCTCACTGTGTCTCTGTCAAATAAATAAATAAAATCTTTAAAAAAAATAATAGAAGTTACCATTAAACCTTTCATAAGCCAAAATGGCATAAAGCAAAGAAGAAATTACTATTAATTTATGGGAAATTTTTTGAGCAACCCCAGACCCAAAAAGTAACCTCTCTTGGGCTTTTTTGATACCTAGAATACATCTTATTAACAGATGCACAAAATAAATTGAGATAAAGCACATGATGAGGGATAGGAGCAGAAAAATGTTCACCTTTAGCCCAGAAGGTTGACCTATAGTCTGCATAGTTCTCATAAGGATCAAATACAGGATCCTTACTGGTTGCTACATTCTTAAAAGGCCTCATGACTGCCTGAACATCTCACTGATAGTTTGTTCATAGCGATTTTCATCCAAGGGATGCCTCTGGTCCCTTTAACACTAGGAACCTCTGACATATCCTGCGTGGGATGCCACCTGGTAATTGGGGGCGGGGGGCTTTCTTGGTAAAGCACCTTCTTCTCTCAGTCCCCAAGGTCTCTCTCTTGGGATGCCTTTTAACCTGCTGGAAAAAATTCAGATTGCTAGATTGAAGGAAAAATAAGACTCATCTTCTATAGCACTGTATGACCTCAATACTCCTTAGGAGACAAGGAACAATGGCCTATTAAGCTTCAGTATGATCTATCAGTTAGATTTCTTCTACAGGAAACAGGGCAAATGGACTGAGGTACTCTGCAGGCATTCATGACCCTAAATCAGGATCCTGACCTATGGGCCTCTTGCAGAATGTGTTTGGCCACTACCAAGCTACTAAACCCCCTTCCAACATTGGATGATGATTATCTAAATAGGCTCCTCCTCCTCTTAATAGACCCAGGTTGCCAAAGGAATCACAGGCCATCCCTAATGAAGGGGATGCTGACTTTCTCACTGTTCCTTCTCCTAATAGACCCAGGTAACTCTTATTGTATGTGGGGGCTTCTCCCTCATTCATTTCCCAGGTTAATGGCTATGATAATTGGAGTCAGTTGTCTGTGGTTAGGCTACCTCAGGACAGGGACCTTAAGGAATATTCCCAAGCAGCTGTTGAAACTCCTCTGGTTTCAGGGAAGTTCCCTGTCTCTTCTGGTCTGACATGGAATGCCTATTTTCACCTTTTGTTGGTGGGGAAAAAAACAAACTTATCTGTTCATCTGTCTGAGCTGATAAGCTTTAGGATGATGAGTCCTCTTTATCCTCCCTGTGGCCTTTCATCCACTTGCAGCCTTGCTGGCCACACCTCACCTCTTCTGCCTCGGGTTCCTCCTCCTGTTTCTGCACCACCATGGATGGGTATGGCCTGTATTAACCGCTCTATTAACCGCTCCTAGACCATCCTCAGTGCCTCTAGCACCATCAGCTCCTACTCTTCTACCCTCACTATCAAGGAGTGAGAAGCACCCCTCCTTAGACTTAAACTGACCACTTCAGATTTCCCCATCAATGCCCCAGGTAAAAATTGACAGTGGGGAATAAATTAATTGAATTTTGGCAGATACAGGTGCAACATATTCTATATTAAAGCTAATTTGAGTTTGTTGGTTTCATTAAGATGGACATATCTTTGGAGTTGTCAACATTAAGTATAAAACGTTCATCAAGGTTTACTAAAGTTCAAATAGGCTTGTGTTATCTCTTGCAATTTGTCAACAAAATATGACGTAAAATGGTGGTTAATTTTGTCTGTCTCAAAATTTTCACGGGTAATTGTTAAAATAGCTTTCAAAATCTTCAGTGGCCTGAAACTTGGCAGTTTTACTTGGATGATGGGTTGGATTGAACTCACTGGCTGTCTGACTCTTCCAAATGAGATAAGATACTGAAACATTGATTATTGAACATAAGGTTTATCTGTTTTTGGCTTCTTATTGAAGAGAAACTGAGGCTACTTGGGTCTGTTGGTAAACATGCTTTATGCTTTATTAAAAGATTATACTATGGAAAAACATGTTTTTAGAAATTATTAAATGTATTTATAAATTTGCCAATCTAAAGAATTCTGGCATTATTTTCAGTTCACAATTGGTTACTACTTAATTTTCACTGGAGACTAAGGATTCTAAGAGTTAAAATTCTGGTAAATGCAATTAAGACTGATGGAAATAAGGAAAGCACTCTGTATGTAGGACAGTAGGAGATACATAAGAAAGATATAAGAAATTACAATATATTTTGTTGAAAGAAAAAGAAAGTAATTTTGTCCTAGAATGAGACTGGTTGTTTGGAAAGAAAGGGCTTAGGACAAAATCTGAATGCAAAAGAAAGTTGTAGAAAGTTTGTGAAGGAAAGCTTAGAAAAGAATTTTATGTATGGTCAGGACTAAGGTTGAAATGAATGGATTTTAAAAGTACACTGGTATAAGATTGAGATTCTGCTTTTCTCTCTCTGTTAAAAAGTCAAAAGTTTTTCTTGGATTATTGGTCTGCTCTTCATAAGAAAATGTAAACAAAATTTGGGGTTTTTTTTTTTCTCTTTTCTTTCTGCCCAGCAAACCAAAGCTTCTGTATTTTGTTTTTGTCAGGCCTTTGATTACTTAAGAAAGTTAAAACTTCTCAATGTTAAAGGAGCTAAGTTTTACTAACAACTATATAACTTCCTGTAGAATTCCTTATTGCCATCTTGGTTAAATACTAATATTAAATTTATAATGATCTGTAATTCTATTTAGGCATGTGCTTTAAAACTTTCTGACGTTTTTAACGAATTTCCTGAGATTTAAATGGCAAATGAAGTCTTTGTGACTAATTAGGCTTGTTTATTTGGTATGTAAAGTTACTTGGAAAGCACTGTCAAACCAGTGATGATATCCCTTGGGTTATATTGTATGGGTAAATGCTATAACTATTCAAGAAAATATATGAAATTTTTGAAGTTTTAATATGTCCTAATATAAGGTCATCACTTAATATTCTGATTATTGAAGTGTTATGTATCGTAGAAATAACTGGATTTCCTGTCAGCTACATTATAATGAACTCTCATATCAGATCTTTAACCATGTCCACTTCCAAGGTTTTTTGTCATTTATACTTATTGTTCTGATGCTCTTACAAAATGAATTTTGTCTTCAAGGAGATTCATGCAAAGGACTTTTTATTGACAAATACAGGTGTTTGATATCTTTAAGCTCATAAAACTGAACTGGATAAAAATTTCCAGAACTAATGGGAAAGCTGCATTTAAGCTGAACAAAAATTAATAACATGGGACTAAATGAATTGAGAAAGATGATTATAGTTTTTATGACTCTTGTTTGAAACATTGCTGGTTCTCTAATGTATGTTCTTTCAGATTAAGGAAGTTTTCTCTTAAGATATCTGTGACTTATGCAAATATGATAAAATATTCCTTTGCAAACAAATCGAAACATCTAACCTTTCTCCCTACCTGAACCCTCCAGAATTCAGAAACTCTCAGTAGGTTTCCATGGCAATTATAATTATTTGCATAATTTTGATGAGAACCTATTCTCCTTGTAACAGGACATCATTTGGAAACATTGGTTATATTACTTTGACTGGAATGTCATATTTGAGAGGGACATGCATTGACTCAGATATGACCAGAGAGCTTTAAGGAATTAGGGTTGACTTTATGGAACCAATAGAGCCCCCTTGGAAATGTTAGCCTGATACCTTGCTTACAGAGTTCCCAGCAGCCTTACCAGGTGAGTAAAGAATGTCACTTCCTGGCAAGTGCAGGAACCTCAGGATATTTGGGGGACCTGGAAAAGAGGAATACACCCAAATCTACTGGTATTGCAGACAAGTCTAATGACAAGTATTTGGCTTGGCTCTGGCCTTGAGAGGCTATTGAAAGTTCAGTCAATACAAATTTCCAGCAAAGCAGATTTTAAAGGATCTATATGATCAACCACTATTCTTGCTGACCTTATGTAAATAATTAGGCCAAGTTTGTTAAAACTGGACTTGTTTTACAGACAAATTAGTCTTGATTTGGCTATCTTTGGAAATAACGGTAAATTTAGAAAGAAAAATTATTTTTCAATAATGTATTCTTATGAATGTTAGATTCTAGTTTTGATTAATTGTCATAAATGTTTGCCTAAGCTAGACAACTTGAGGTAAACTTCAGAGAGATTGCCATAATAACTCATATATAGACAATCTTCCTGCTTGTTACTCTGTGGAGATAATAAAAGGAACCCCATGGACATGATTATTTAAACAGCTGGACAGGGGCTCCTGGGTGGCTCAGTTGGTTAAGCGTCTGCCTTCGGCTCAGGTCATGATCCCAGGGTCCTGGGATCGAGCCCCGCATCGGGCTCCCTGCTCCGTGGGAAGCCTGCTTCTCCCTCTCCCAGTCCCCCTGCTTGTGGTCCCTATCCCTCTGTGTCTCTCTCTGTCAAATAAATAAATAAAATCTTTAAAAAAAAAAGTTTTAAACAGCTGAACAATGAGATGGGCTCCCCAACAATTGTGTAACTCAGCTGTCACCTTGATCAATTCTATGTGGCTGGAATAAAAAGTTGCTCCTTAAAATCCAGAACATACCCCACTCCATGGGGTTAACTATGGACTTACGGAAATAATAGTTGGCCCCACCCTCCTTATAATTGGATTGGATAATACACTTGGGGATGCCCTTTTCTCCTGGGACAAATCATCTCCCACTTGCCTGTGATTCCTTGTAATTAAGATATTAAGATTAGACATCACACAAAGAAGGCTTCTTAATGGTTTTATCCCTTAGCCATATTTGTCCTGGGAGTCAATGTCTATCGATGTAAAATTACAAGTAGAGGCTTTAGCCAAGCATACAGTGGCCACCTTTAACCAAACCCAAAATGAAGTCACCCACAAATTCGAAAAGTGGCCCTCCAAAACCTAATGACCCTTGATATCCTAACTGCAAGTCAAAGAAAAAATTATTATGCTAATATTGAGACTATGTTGTGTATAAATCCCAGATGACTGCTAATGTATCCAAAGTTTTAGCACACATGCACACCACATCTAAATGGTAACTCTTTTTACATCAGAAATGTAATGTTTTATTTAGTGTTACAACTTTGGTCTTTCTGATTCACACAGAAGAAACTCAACCAAGAGGAAATTCTTCTTCAGTTTTAACCATTATTTTAAGATTTGCCTACCGGGATGATAACTTTTTAAATTTTATAGTAAGCTCCCATTCAATAGAATTAGACTGTCACCTGAGAAATTTAGTTGAGAGTTGACTACTCACTCAATGAACATTCTGTTTGCATAAAGCATTTCCTCTAGTATGGAAACGGTAGGGTCAATATTTTATCTATAAAGACATGTTGGGAATCAATCTTTAAGTTTTAAACTGTAGCTGTCAACAAGTTAATTATTTCAGAATTACCTGTTGAGCAATCAACTACTAAAGCGAAGCCTTATTTCAATATGATTTTAGGGTCTTTCAGGTCCTAAGAGGCCCTGTCCTGGGCACTGAGAATTCAATGGTGAACAAAGATATGATTGCAGTTGTCTAGGAGGAGGGCATGACAAACTGAAGCAAATAGTCAAAATATGATTACTGTGGAGAAAGAAGAAATAGAGAGGGATTTTTTCCCCGTACATTTTAGTTTATTTTAATTGTCAGTAAATAGATGAACATGAAGGTTAGGATGACAAAACAAATAATTTTCCTTTCAACATCTACCTGAATTCCCAATGAATAAACTACACACAAAGTTTTACTTAATGATTTATAAACATAAGAAAAGTAACTGTTTACTGAGCACCTACTATATACCAAAGTGACGTACATGAACTCTAATTGGTGACAGGACCAAAGTAGGCAATTGCTGTTTTTCATACAAACTTGAGTTTCAGCCTTCACTCCCCCACCCCCAATCACCTTGCCACCTCGGAGTCTCCACTGTATGGAAATCATCTCAGCACATCTCAAGGGAGGTGTCACTGATTTCATTTTATAGATGAGGAAACTGAGATTAGGTGGTTAAATAAATTGCCAAAGGCCTCACAGCTTCTAAATGCAAAAGTTAAAACTCGAACTCAAATCCTGTGGGTTATCTTCTTTACAGTGCTTCAATAATTATGTTTCTCTTTTGTATCTATACTGAATACTGAGCTATATTTAAAAAAAAAAAAAAAAACTTCCTCCATTTGGTTTCTTATACCATTTTTAGAGCTTCTTCTACCTCATTTTTTTTCTTTACTCAGATTTATGTCTGAGTGAAAAAGAAGAAAGGGTATTTTAAGACAGCCAGCAAACATTTCTGACTGCGTGGCTACACAGTCAGGCTGATGTAGAGGTGAGGAGTGAGAGAGCAGAGTGTTCAAAACTGATATTCCCAGTGTTAGGTTCAGTATTCTTAATTCCTGTTTTATATTCCCTGTGCAGGTCCCGGGCCAGTTGGTCCTCAAATTCCTTTCTTCGTCTGGCTCTGTTTTGCAGACGAATGAACTCCACTGCCAGTTGGTGCATTGCCAGCGTGGGACAGCGGAGAGAAACTGAAGTCTGAGAGGAAGTGGCTAGACGTGCTCTGCTCCATCTCCCTGATGGCGGCGCCTTGACTGGCAGCAGTTGTGTTTCTTAATGGCACTCCAGCTCTGGAAAGGTGACCTGGCCCCTGTGCTCTGACAGTGCTGCCTCTGCCTTTTGTCCCTTCAGGCTGAGATGGGGGAACTAGTGGTTGGCCATTGTTGCTAGCCTCTGGATGGCCTGGCTGTCCTGTTGGGCTTCTTAGTTTTTCATCTCCTGTGTGACCATTCCCCCGCAATAAAGTCCTGCTGTTTTAAAAATTCAGGTGGTTTTTCATATGCTATCATTTTTATGTGGGACATTAAAAAAAAAACAAATGAATAAACAAAGAAAAAGCAGAAACAGACTCATAAATACAGAGAACCAGCTGATGGTGGGCAAAGGGGAAGGGGAGGATGGGCAAAACGGGTGAAGGGGAGTGGGAGATATAGACTTCCAGTTATGGAATGAGTAAGGCAAGGGGCTAAATGCACAGCATAGTCCATGGTACTATAATATAGTCCATGGTATTGTAATAGTATTGTATGGTAACTGACGGTAGCTACTACACTTGGGGTGAGCGTAGCATAACAGAGAGAGTTGTTGAATCACTATGCTGTACACCCGAAACTGATGAAACATTGTGTGTCAACTCTATTTCAATTTAAAAAAATAAATAAATAATTCAGGTAGTTTTTGTTTTCCTGATTGGATCTTGACATTTACCCAAAACACTTTATACTTCATTATAAAGATCTGTGCACTTGTGATTATATATTTAATAAATATACTTCAGGCACTTGTGAGTGTATATTTAATAAATGTCTCCTTAGCCAAACTCTATGTTTCATGAGGGCAGAGACCATGCCTGTCTCCTTCACCCCTGTATTACAGTAATTGCCAGGTGAGAGGTATTTAATACTTATTTGTGGGATGAATGAATGGATGAATAAGATGAGTCGTAAAGTTTTTCTTTCCTCAAAGCTCCTGTCACCTCCTCACTTCTTATTCTTGCCCTGAAATAACAAGGTAAAATAACAACAAAACAAGCTAGTTCTTCTGTACTTACTGACACATCCTCATGTCATTCAGGAAAAGTCAACTCACCCACAAAAATCAAGTAACATCTGCCCAAATGATTAAAATAAAAGTGGAACACTTTTAAGTACCAAAGAACAAAAGAAAAACTTTGTGAAACCAACTTGAGAAGCCGATAGTGGGGAGTTAAACCTGATGTGGCTTTATAGAACCAGAGAAAACCAAGTGAGCACTAAACCAGCTTTATTTTAACTGGAAACTTGTTCTTTTCTGTCATCTTTTTCTGCCAAATGGTTTGAATTTGAGTGAATCATACCAATGACTCAAATGTTTTGGAAGGCATTACTATTTATCAAAGTCAGTAGGAGAGAAGGGAGAATTTATTTTGAGATTTCAGAAATCTTAAAAGATGTATTAATTTGTAAGAGTGCAAAGTCATGTGTGCACTCTCTAGAAGTCACAATTTGGACAGCTCCCGTAGATTTTTCAGATCTGTTTTCATGGAAGCAGAGCCAGCTGTGTATCTTCCTGACTTTTATGGACTACCTTCTAGCCTTCTTTCTTTTCCTTCTTTATGAGGACAGCAAGAGGGCCACATGGCAAGGGTGGGGAGGGGGAAGGAGAGAGTTATGAGTTCAGTCTTTTGCTTGCCATGGTTTTGAGAAAATAACTCAATTCCTGCAAAAAGAAAGTGGAAGAAAGTGATACTTCAATACTTGAAGGAGGCCAAAATCATTTAGCCAGCACCAAAAAACAATGAGCTGAAAATGATCTCTTTGTGTAACAAAATTGCCCAATATTAAATATTTTTCTGGAATCCAAATTCTCTTATGTAATGTGTCTTAAATGCTACTCTGGAGTGTTCTTATGATCAGCTTAAGGGACAGAGAACTTCCAGCTCTTCTAATTTAAATACAAAATTAAAATAGGTGCACTACATATAGCCCAGAGAATAGCATACCCACAGCATGGCATATACAAACAGCCTTGGTATATAGCCACAGTGGATCCATTTAAAACAGGAGGCATGAGGCAATGGAAGAATGGCAAAACAAATATTTAATATTTTGTTGTTTAAGTTCCATTTTTAAAGAATTTCCACTACATTTTATCATAAAACTCAAACAGACAAACATGAACGGGTTTAAAGAAAGTTTCAGTCATATAATAATTGCTGGCTCTGCTTTAACTTCCAAAGTAATCAAACAACTTTTGAATATCTAGAGCATAGTAGGCAATGGCAATTCAACTTTTTTGGCTGGTATATATATACCACACAAAGAAGGGGTTTAAAAAATAAGTATCTTTCAGATTAAGACATGGTAAATATGTTACAGGAAAAATTCTCACCAGTGGGTTCATTAAGCTACATGACAGCAACAATCGAAGATGTTGGCATCTTTGTGATCCCTTTTATCTTGAAGATTTCCCACAGAGTGGTTGTAAGGATTAGGTGGAATAAGGTATGTAAATAAAAATTGCCTTGTGAACTAGAAGTGTCTTCCCAGGTATTATAAAAGATTAACTTGGGCCCTGAGCTGTGAGTGGGGAGCAGGCCACACATTGTTCTCCAGAAAGGGGACCTCTTGAACTCTAGGACTTGGAATCATTTCAACTATTTAATCTCTGTGTTTCTTAACCCATCTGATTGTAACACGTATCTTAGTCATGTGGCTCTGGAGAGGGAAGAGGGAATTTGTGCAACACATATGGGTGAGAGGTAGCAGCAGAGCAGTGGAAAAGAGGGGGGAGAACCAAGATTTCATTTTTAAATGTTGGCTTATATTTATCCCCTGACCCACTAAGCAGCGGGGTGTTCCCTCATCTGAGGTTGTGCAGTATTTTGTCCATCCCTCTCCTCAAGGGTGTGTGATATCCTTTTTTTTAAAAAAAGATTTTATTTTTAAGTAATCTCTCCACCCAGCATGGGGCTCAAATTCACCACCCTGAGATCAAAAGTCACCTGCTCTACCGACTGATCCAGCCAGGTACCCCAGGGTCATGTATTATCCTGATGGCTATTTCTCCCAACAGAACTGGGCATCTTGAGGACCGAATAAATATTTGTCACACGAATAAAAAAGCTGTTTCAAAATTCCCTAGTTTCCAGACTAACCAACTTTGAGGCCCACAGTCAAAATGAAGAGCATTTAGTAATTTCACAAACTCTTGATTACACATTTTGTTTTCTTCTAAAAAGTCACTATGCTAGATATAGGCAAAAACATGATTTACTTGTACAGTCCTTAGCCTTGAGGAACTACAAATGTAGTAAAGGAAGTAGATTTATAATTACAAATTATCCCAAGGTAGGAAATCATAGAACACTTAAAATTGGGGTATCCTGTGAGTCTGAGTCTTAAAGGGAAGTAGTATATTACTAGGCTAAAGAGTGGAGAAAAAGGCATTTCAGATAAGGAAGGGGACATGCAAAGACATGGAAGGATCCAGTAGTATGGTTCATGCAGAGAATTGGAAATGAAGCTCTACAGCTGAAGTAGGGAAAATTTCAGGACCCCTCAATGCCTACTGAGCTGCCTGCATGTCTCTATCATTCTTGACTGCAGTTGTTGAGGATTTTAGAGGGTGGTAGATTGGATCACTGACCTTCTTTATTTCTCCCTGTACCCACCTCTTTGCTATTTGCTTAAAAAACTTATTCAAAAGCAATGCCTTTCCCAGCTCCTTTACTTTGGCCAATGTGGTAAGAGTAGATGTAAACCAGGCAGGAGCTTGAAATGCCCTTGAGAAGGAGGGGTTTGCCTTTTTGAATTTTTGCTCTTCTATTCTACTATGGTGAGAGCTTCCTGTGTGTAGCTGCTGCCTCTTTTGCCTGGACTTCAAAATGAACACACAGCAGAGCCACGCCATCTGACCAAGGATCCAGGAGTGCAATAAGTACTGATTGCTGTATGCCATTGAGATCTTGTGGTTCTTCTTATGCAGTGTTGTTGCAGTAGTGAACTGACCCCGAGCATGTAACACCTCTTTTTGCAGCCTAATTTCAGAATCAATTGAGAGAGAAGAAGGGCAGGAGAGAAAGTGGGCGAGAGACAGGGAGTGAGAGAGGGAAGGGGGTAGGGAAAGAGCAAAGGGGGCAGACAGAGAGCAAATATCTCCTTTATTATGAAAATCCTACCTTGGAGGATGAGGCTTAGGGGTATTTGAACACTGACTTACTGATACAGACCCTAGAATCACACGGTTCTCCTGATCCAGCTACAGCACATTTTGCACACAGAGGCTGAGCCTTTTTCTTGAAACTCTGCCAGGCCAAGAAAAGCAGAATGGCTGTATTTGGCAGACAGATCCCAAAGGCAGAAGGATGGGAAGGGTGAAATATCCATATCCAGAGCCCACTCTCAGGTTTACCCATAAGATCATTTATATCTATAAAAGTGCCTAGTTAATGCCACTTCTCAGGGTTATATGAGAGTTAAATTAAAAAAATAAATGAAGCTCAATAAAGTGCCTGATTTAGACTGCTCAACAAACTTACTTGCTCACATTCTTTCCCTACCCTCTCTTGCCTTTTTTTGTCTTTGTTTATCTATTTTTTTCCTCTTCCTTTTGATTTTCTTCCTGTCCCTCCATCTTTCCAATTCAACTCTAAATTAATGATACTGTATACTCTGTCGTATTTTACCAACTACATGTTCCTTAATATACAAACTTCATGTATAAAAAAAACATGTATTTCCTTCTATAAACATAGATCAAATTAAATTAAATTCCTTTCAAAAATTGGTTTGGATATTCAATTGATCTTTATGGGGTCATTTGGTCTTAACTATAAAAACTTCCATCTCCTCAGTATGTTACTGTCAAATTTCTTATAGGTTTTCTATTTTTCACTTGTGGTTAGGTTTTATAAAGAACACACTTATACTAATTTAATATGTGCCTGAGTTTATCATGCTTTCAATTTCAAATCTTTTCAGATTACATACTGGAGCAATATGGAGGTCACTAAACAACCCTGTTGTGTCTCCATTTTCAATGTTCATCTTTTTTTTTTTTTTTTTTGGTGGAATTTAAACATTGATGTTGAGGAACTTACACCAAAGAAAAATGAAAAAGCTCAGCATTGGACCTAGGTGATGTAGTTAGTGGCAGGCAGACAGGCAGGCAGGA